CGGGTAGCACAAATGAAATCCGACGAACGGCGATATTTTTTTTTTGCAGAAATTACATCGCTTTGTTCCACGCGAGAATCGATTTCCTCGTTTATCTTATTAAATAATTATATTGCATTTACATTTAAGAAGTATATCACGTGCAGATCGCGCGTAATAAGATATTTAAGTTACGTTCGTGTCATCCGCAAATGAATAAGCTAGATTTTCAATTTAATATTCTCGGATAGATACATAATGCAAGTGTAAAATACACATGTGTATACGTGCATTTGCGGAGATGTTTTGTAACATGCGACACCCTCTCACGGTCAGCGAAAGGAAAAAGAAAAAATAACAAGGACTCTCGATATATTGAAATAAATTTAAGTTATAATAAATAAGGGCGTGAGAGTACACTGTGAAAAAAATTACATTAGATAATTAGAATGGACAATTTTCCCTAGCGTGCACCAGAAAGCCCAGAAACCGGTACACTCAGCCACGCGTAATGCCGGTAGGCCAGGTCAGCTCGGGCCAGCTACTAACGACCCATAATCAGATTCTTGCGGTTTGTCGACGACCGTCGTATTTTTCCAAGAAATTTTCCCCGGTCAGCTGCTCTTCCTCCTAAGCATGTCCCCATCGACCAAACCTCGTCGCGAGCAACGAGATTATCGATTCGTAACGCTAATTCCGCCGTGTTGCGACTCCACGTAATCGCCTGGCGGGATGTCGGAATCATTCGAGTGTTATAGCGAATTCGGTTGCTTGCACTAGTGCGCACTGCGTGCCCACTAATGCGTGGTCTACAATGCAAGTCGCAGAGTCGTAGTCGTAAGAATAATCGACTGCGATTGGTCAATTCCGTCAGACACATAAGAATTGGCCAATCATAGTGAATTTGTAGTTGTACGACTCGCATTGTACACCCCGCATAATTGTTTGTACACTGATAGAAACAATGGTTAGAATAACTATAATCTCACTAGATTTTATAGTGAATTTTGGCTCTACACATATTTTTATAGTTTTATTAAACATGCAAAATATTGCTGAGCAAAATTTATAGTCATTATCACTATGACATATATTAGCACAACTATATGAAATAGTTATGGTAAACTAAAAATAGTATATACATTGCGTTGTACACTATGTTCATTGGTTACATCACTTTGCATTCGTAAAGAATAGTACAAGAAAGCATCTTTCAAAGAAATGATAAGTAA